TGTATTGTATTTTATGATTTATTTAGATTTCTTATAAATTTATCACTAACAACGGAAGGTTAATCATTTGGTGCTCCACTTTCCACTTGAAGTCTTGGAACCCCATCCGAAACCACCACAAAAAAAAATCGTTTTTAATTGTATTTACTCAAAAAATATATTTTAATTTCAATATTTTGTTGTTCCAAACAGTAAGTACAATAACCCAAAATATAGATTTTAATATATTTATACAATTTAAATTCCAATCAAATAGAAAAATAAAAATATATAATATAATATAACAATATAATTTTACTAGAAAAATCCAACAGAAAGTGATCCACCGAATGAAAGGTGACAAAATCATCTCATGAGTTTGATTCAAGTGATGGAGATTGATGTAATTTCTAGACCAAAATAGTCTATATATAAAGGTTGTTCATGAATCTATGATGCATGTAGTCAGGACGAAAGTGTGGAAAACCATCCTGGTTATTAAAAACAATTTTACTATGAAAAATTTTAAATACAAATACAATATTTGCTTTATCACTAAAACATATTTTACTATTGCTATTTTGTATCTCTTTTTTTTATATATATTTTCAATTTCATTAAGCAATTTTACCTTGACATTGTTTTTTGTGGCAATACATGAACATATTTTGTGGTCAATAGGAAAATGTAAGTATTTGAATTTACCTAAAAAGGTGCAATTTCTTTCTTTCTTTCTTTTTTTTCAAAAATTATCCAACAGAAATCTCCCATTGACTTTCCAAAACAAAGTGAAAATAATCATTTTCAATACCTAACCCATTTTAAATTTTTACCTGTTTAAGAAAGTTACTTTTTAACCTAAATCTGAAATATTCTATATATATGGAGTTAAATCTAACCCAACAAACCCACGATTATATACAACGGAAGAAAATGGAATATATAAAATTCAATATAATTAAATTAAATAATCGATCATTATTATTTTATAATATCAAATTAATCGAATTTAGATAGTTTATAAACAGATCGAATAACAACATAATAAATAATTAAAATGAGTAAACATATTTTTTAAAATAATTTTTTAAAATAGAAAATTTAACACAATAATAATAATAGTAATAAATAGAAACCTAAAATACTGAACTTTTAAAATTTTCAAAATAAAAAATATAACATCTAATTTCTAAATTGTATTTCTCTATTCAAATTCAAATATAAAAACACCTATTTACACATCATAATATAATTCTAATTAAAAAAATATGTCGTATCAGATAAATTAACCACAATACATCGCAAATCTCGTGGTGAGGTTGAAATATGAAAATGATGGAGTTAATATATATACACATAAAGGGGGAGTCCCCCAGCCTAGTGGTTAATGACAACCCCCTCTACCATGAGGTTGTGGGTTCGAATCTTAGGTATGATACTTCCCTTGAGCCGATCAGTTTTATGAAGCTGGTTTACTTGCTCTGCGTGGTTTGCTGGCTACTGCGTAGGGCGGTGGGTTTTCTCAGGTCTGCGATACTCTGTCCTGATGTCGTTCTCGTCCGGCCTATGGACTGAGAGGCGTTGCGGTGTCTGGTGTCCGATCCGAAGGGTTATAGGATAGGGTTCCCATCGTAACAAAAAAAATATATATATATACACACATATACATATACATGTATATATAGTGGAGAAAACTATTGAGCATGTTGACCTTGTCTCTTGTTTTTCAAAAGATTGGACACACGCATCGAACACATGCAAAAAAGAAACCCTAAGATTACACGACAAACGAAAGAAAGTAACCCCACCTTCACTCATTGCTCCGTATAATGCTACCATATCATTGCCCACCTTTCATAGGCATTGCATATATATATATATATATATGTTAGGAATAACATTTTCACATGAAAAACCCATTTATTAAATTCGAATAAAATATATCTAGATTCATATTGTTTACCATGGCGATAAAACTTGAAAAACATGGGCCATATATCCGTTTTATATATGGATACGAATTCGCTTGTATTATAATATATGGTCATGAATTCTGATTTTATCTATGTATATATTCTTCGAGAAATCTATCTCGTAATCTTCACATTGATAATTATGATACAAATTAATATTGACTCGTACTCTTGAATTTATGTTCAATATTTTTTTTATGAGATATGGTCTGTCATATTAATTAAAAATCCAGAATCATTCCCTTTTTCTTTTCTTATTGGAAGAAATAATTTACCATAGTGGGTAATGAGAATGAAGACTGTTCTTGCCATATAACCAAAATTTTGTGCACCAATGAAATAAAAACATAGAAACTAAATATGATATTTCTATATATTGGGTGTAACGAGGGTCAAGCCGGTTACGGACCAACCAGGGAATGAAACGTTAGGGTTTGTACGTTATGCAACTAACACAAAGTCTTCATCATCGCCATCAGATAGCACTCGGAGATTCTTGTCGATGTGGGACTTCTCCTCGTCAACTTGTGGCGGATTTACAGTGTTTTCTAATTTCCCCGTGGAAGATCCATCCACATATAATATATACTGTTAGAATCTCAATCATATGTCACCAAAATCGTCCTCCAAAAACATTCCGCATCTCTTTGCTTTGTCCCGTAGGGGCATCCACGTGTCGAATGAAGGGTTTCTAACTTATTATATATACATGTATATATAAATAATGCTATAAATGCATACATAGTTAGTATGTTATATATGTTCCTTTTATTCGAGCAGATTCAGAAGATTTTTTGCTTTTGTATTTGTTGGACTTCAATTTATATATTGACTTAATACATATATATATATATAGTTCACTATAGTACGTATATATACGTGTATGTATATAATTTTATCGTGTTTGTGCGTATGAATATGTGGAAGATAAAAGAAGGGACAATTAGGGGCTTGTCGTTTTCTGGATAAACAGTATCTAACGAACATGGAACTCAACTTAATACATATATATATATATATATATATATATATATATATACATGAGATATATTTTTTGGTATCGAATCATTGATTGACTTTTACATGATTTTGGTAGGTATTTTGTAAATAACTCTTAACATATTGTTGCATCTGGTTTTCCAACTATATATATATATATACACACACACACACACATAGTTTCATATAGCAATGTTGTAAAATGTCTCAAATCAATGTCATAATTATGTTATTTTATCTTCGGATCCATTTGTATGTCATATATATACACTATATTTTATGTGATATGCGAAACAGGGAAATGAATTATTCATATGACTTTCTCTATTCAATGTTTTTCATTAGCCTGATCATATAATAAAGTAATCGAGGAATAAGCAAGGTGACCATTACATACACACACACACACACACATATATATATATATATATATAGCTATAAAGTTAGATGTGAAGTGGTTGTATTTACATGATGATTCTCATATTTATGGACCTACACCGTACTACGTAACTCTCTTCCTCTACATGAAGATGGGCTCTTGGCTCTTGGGGTGTCCCCCCACCTCCCTCTCTTGTCAAAATCTACACAAAGTGAAGTTAGGCAGCTTTTCCATTCAATCTTTAATCCACTCCAAAGGGTTTTTTTTTTTTTTTTTGTAAAGCCCAACATCGATTTTTATGTATGAAACTTTAAATTAGTACCAAAAATTGTTTTTTTCTTCTTCTTTTAAATTGTGATACTTGATAATTAGGAAAGATCAATAGCCCTGTCAAACCCGATAACGGTATCTAGAAATGGAAAATTAAGTTGAAATATATAAAATCAAATCAAATAATATATATACACACATATATATATATATATATATATATATATATATTAAGTTGAAATATATAAAAACAAAAAAAAAAATATATATACACACATATATATATATATATATATATATATATATATATATATGAATTCATCAAAAAACGGATTGCATTTACCAAATTAAAAAAAAACTAAAAATTGAATTTTTTTCCTGTTTAGAACACGAGTTATTTTCTTCATGAAAATTGACTAACACCCATTTCGAATCGAGCAAAAAAACATGATTTTAAATTTTAATAGTAAAAAAATAATTAAAGTAAAATTCAAAATATCCACTTGTACACTTTTTTGAGTCATAAAAAATTAGAAAACAGGTGCGATAATTATGTATCCTAATCATGGTTAAGACTTTGCTTTTACAGGAAAATGTGTAGTCGCTGCTTTGGTCTTGAAGGCGACAGTTAGTAGGTCGGTCTAATTACTGATTAAATATAATCCTACTACTGATATATAGTTACTAATTTTTTTACAAATAAGAAAATAAAATATATGCATATATATATATATGAAATATGCGCATGTGTATAGATATATATAGATGTAGAGTGAGATATTAGTGTAAAGTAGATTTGATCACATGGGAAATTTAATATATTTGTATCATTGTATGGTCACATGGGTTTGCGTGAAATATTGCTTTTAACCATCTTTTTTTTTTGTCTCCCTACGCTATGCCTAAGTCTCCTTTATATATATATAAATTTGATTGTGATAAACTATATGAAAAACGCTGCGGAGACATATTAGAGGTAGGGGTATTGTTTTTCATTTTCAATTCGTTTATTTTTTCTCAAAATTTTAAGTATTTGTAATTTTTAAAAGTAATATATATTTTTTTTTCTCTAAAATATCTTAAAATATTTTAAAATTCTCCAGGAAAATAGAATTTGTATTTAAATGTATAAATTGAAGCGAATGAAATTGGATAATATCTAATAATATCCGAATAAAATTTCAATTTCCATGTTAATTAAAATAGTTCTGTAGTAAATAATATGGAAAGGGATGTAAAATGAAATCATTTACAAAGATATTTTTATTAGGTAGGACGAGAGGTCAACTGAAAGTGAGTTGACCGATGACGACAGGCCACGTCAGCATCCAGTTCTGACCGCCTTCCTCTGTTTAAATAGAAGCAAACCAGTTCAGCTCTCATCACACACACTAATCATCATACCACAAAAAAAAAACATATACGTACAAAAAAATAACTGCCATGTGTGGACACGTCAGCACCTCCGTAGTCGCCGACACGTTCCCATTCGCCCAGGGATATTCCGGCGGTGTCGTCACTCCTCCTCCGCCGCCGCCGTTGCAGGAGCAGTTCCCTTCACTGCAATTTCTGCTGAACAACCACGAGCTGATGATTGCCGCCGACTACTCGGAAGCGATATTCGAATTTTCTGGCGGCTCCGGGAACGGTTACGGCGGTGGAATCAGCGGCTGCAACTCGCCGAGCTCGCTCGAGAGCGGCGGCGGCGGAGAGCGTAGTGTGATGCAGAGGAGTGTGAGTAGCAACGATGGGTTTTTGGGTCATTTGGCGTCAACCCATGGGCCCACTTTGGAGTCTGGGCCCGTGAGACGGGCTCTTAGCGCCGGAGATCTGCACGTGAGTTCCACAATTACAGAAATACACATACACATATACATATAGTTCTATATATCTATGTCATGAATGAAACAGTACCCTGTTAACAGTAACTTATAGTATAAAACATGTACTAAAAGAAATCATTTTGAAAGTAACAGTAGAATTCATGAAACACAAAAGGCTACCTGTTGTAAGCGAAATCTATATATAATGGTCTCAGTGGACGTCGAATGAAACATGCAAGGCCGAAGTTGAGCCATATGGATGATCATGATGATGATGATGTAATAGAGTGTATGATATGCATATATGAATATATAACATGGTGTGGATTTGATGCATGCAGAGAATGAATAAGAAGAAGGGGAAAGGGAAGCAAGGGAGGAGAGGGGAGAGCGAGCTATGGAGTGAGAGCAATGCCATAATACAAGGAATGAACAGAACAGCCAAGTACAGCCCGCTTGAGAAGAAGCAGAGGATTGAGCGATACAAAAGCAAGAGATCTCTTAGGAATTTCAACAAGAGAATCAAGGTGTATATATATATATATATGGGTTTTGATATATATTTGTGAAAGAGTGATGAATATTGAACACGTTGGTGTGGTTAAGTATGAATGCAGGAAGACATTAGCAGACAGCAGGCCACGAATAAGAGGGAGATTTGCAAGAAATGATGAGATCGAAGACAATAAGATGATGCCACAGCCAACCCAAGATTTCGACACTGCTTGGGCCTCTTTTCTCGATTCTTTCTCCGTTAATCACTTCCTTAATTAATCTCTCTAGTTTATATATATATATATATGTGTATATATATATGTGTCTGAGTGCAAGTTTTGTGTGATTTATTTTGTAATTAAGAATAAACTGTATTAGTAATTGTTTTTCGATTAATTAGTTGTGTGATCTCTGTTTAAATATAGATATACCAAGAGATTAATACATGGTTCAGTAATCATTCCCTCACAAAACATTAATTTAGTATTTTAATTATACAGAATCGGACGAATTATAAGTACAGATAAGGAAGTACAGGAGGTTGATTAATGATAATTATAATCATGGTGGTCATGTTACCTGATGATTTTATTCCTAGCAACTTGTGTTTCTCATCATGCTAATCTAGAGCCCGAGCCATTTGAAAAACATACATTATATATATATATAGGGAGAAATCCCATATATATTGGCTTGAGAAAATATATATATATATAAAAAAAACATGATTCGATGTTGAATTTCAAGGTGACGAAATTAAAATTAAAATTTTGTCAACCATGAACAAGTATTCAACTTTTAGTCGCCATAAATTGGAGCATTTCTCAATTCTCATTTCTAATACAAAAAAACAGCGATATAAAAATATTTATTAATAAAAAACAAAATGAAAAATCTTATAGAATGATTTAAGAGGTATATAACATAATTGCTGTTTTTTAATGCATAATAAATATATACATTCAATATAAGAAGAATAAACAGAGCATTCTCCTTTTATAGAGGCTATATATGGAGAGATATACCTACGAAATCTGGTCGGTCGGCTTTTTCCGACCGGCGGTGGACTTCCCACTTCACAGTTCTTTTTTTTTCTGTGCCAAACTTTTTTTTTAAAATTAAAATTTCAGTTGGGACAGGTATATTCTACCAATAATAAAATATATTTTAGTTTTTTACATATTAAAATTACAAAATCCAAATTCTAATTTAAAATTTTAAATACCTAATTTCCGGTTAACGGAGTCATGGAATGGAATTTTTGCCCACGATAATGGTTCATCTACTGTTTTCAAAAACTTTTCATTCCATATTTGAAATATATTAAAAAAATTTGTGATTTTTATTCATTAAACTACTATATATATATATATACACACACACAATACATTCAATTTTTCATTTTTTTTATCCCAAGTTTATGATCTTTATCCATTTTCAGCAAAAAGGGGAAAAAAGTGCCAGGAACGTGAAAAACGACCGACCACGTGTCAATAGTCCGATGGACACGTGGCATCTCGGGACCCTCTCTGGTGCCACGGTGTCGTTTCATATTCCTTCAGTTTATCCCTCTCCTCCACCTTCCGTCTCGTCTAAGATACGCAGTAAAGGCTCGGAAGCAAAGCAGCTGTTTACTTTGGATCCATCGATCGACGATAAAAGAAATTCCCAAAATTAATGAAGAAGCGATAAGAAGGTTCGAGAATCTACTTGTCTGGAGCCTTACAGAGAGATCGATGCGTTGAGTTTTTGTTTTTTTTTTATTAAGGTTGTTTAGATCGGATGCATTGTTGAGGTTCAGGAGCAGGTGAAAAATGGAGAAAACTCCTTCGACGTCACGGAGCTCTGCTTATTTGGATGCCCTGACGCAAGAGATTAAGAAGAAGCTGACACGGGTTTGACCTTTCTCTCTCTTTTCCCCCCGCTCCCTCGATCGACACTCGGATTTTGCGTCTTTGCTTTTGAGATCGTAGAGTTTCCGATTTTGTAATCTCTTTGGTCTCTGAGAAAATGCGATCACTTATCGCGTCGGAATTGCATCAGAATTACGATCGGGAATTTCGATTTATGCACGAAATTGTTGTTTCCGGTGATGGTGTATGTTTGAATTCTGGGAAAATGTGTGGGAAAGTAATGAAGGGTTTTGAGAATTCGGGATTTTTCTATCTGAGAACATCTTTTGACATTTAAATTGGAAAAAAACAAAATCTCGCCTTTTGGATTAGGTCATGCATAGTTCACGCAATCTGATCATTAGTACTTTGGCTTTTGGTCGTTTTGCTTCCCCTATATCCGGAGCCTTTTACTCACTTGATGTTTTGTTTTGGGTTTTTCAATACAGGAATTTTGGGATAAGCCCTTTTGGAGTCTGATTTTTATTTGATTTTGGATTTCTGATCTTTGTCTAGGCGCTTGCTTCTCCAGCACAGAGACGCAACTTGTTGCAGGATCTATTCGCAGACATAGCTCTAGAAGTTGATGAACGTGCCAAAGGTAAGCTTTTGATCTCCACATATTGATGAATTTCAACGGGAGCTTGATGCTTATTTGTTCTTTAGTTTAGCGTTTTCTGGTTTCAATGTTGGTCAACTGTCAAGAACATAAGGTGGCGCTGTTATGGCACTCAAGAAAAGAGGAGTAATGGTTGATTATGTTACGGAGACTGATCGTTAAAATTTACTTTAACCATTGGTCCATTGCTTATCTGTAAGATTCAAGTTGAATGTTCATCATGATGAGAAGTATTCTACCAATAACACTAACTTCCATGCTGGAACTGGAAGCAGATGCTATCCTTAGCAGGGACGAGGATGGAATATCTTCTGCAGAAGCAGACGCTGATGGCCCGCTATGTTTCTTCGATGTACTTGCTGATTACTATGTGAAGGTGTCAGACAGTGGAAAGGATATTCTTGATTTGATGTTGCAGCTTTGGAGCCAGTCGTTTGCATCACATATTTTCTCTCTTCTGTTCCATAAATGGGTATTACAATCTTTCAATTGATGTCTAGAAGGTGTTTACAGTTGTCAAATATCCCGTTCCTTGTCTGCACTCCCTTATTTTTTGCCTTCCATTTTATGTGTTAGATTTTCATTTGGTCATGGTTTTGGCGAGTCAATTCTTGTAACATTTTTCTATATTTTTCTCCAGCTGTTTGAGGTTCAGCTCGACAATCAAGAAATACTCCTGCGGTATTCATCTGCTCTTGTCCAGGGAGCAACAAATGTATTCTGGTAAATTCCTTGGACTCCAGTGTATTAGACAATAGTCCTTGATATTCTTTCACCTTGTTTGAATTGTATGGCTCAGTTTATATATATATATATATATATATCGATTCATACAAGCACCAGGATTTTATGTTAGGGGCATTGCCTAGTTCAGCAAATGATTTGTGGGAAACTGTTATAATGGTCTTTACAAGTCTCTTCTTGGGTCAAATGGCTTTCTAAGCATTGTGAAGATGGCTTCTTTTTCATCACAGGATTGATATCCAGACAAATACAAGGCGTTTCCAAACTCTCTTTCGGGTAGATTCTTTTTCTAAATTCTCTAGCTTTCATTTTTCTGGATCCTTTACCTGCATTTTCGGTAACTAGAATTTATTACTCTTTTACTCATTATATATAACAAGGTTGGTGATAATAATTCTCTCGCCTGTATATGTTTTCCTCACTGGGTGAATGAATAACAGCATGCAATGTGCATAGCTGCATGACAGTTGTAGTAAATCGGCTTAATTCCCACACTTTTCTTTGTAATTAATCTTCTATGATGCCATCTCATAAGCTGTTTGTCTCCGCCTCATACAGTGCCTTGTTCTGGGCATATAATTCTGTATTTTGACCTTCTGTTTGATTTCCACCAGTGTTCTACTTAATCACATCAAATGTTTATCCGTTTAACATGTTCCTTCGAGTTTTTACAGTATCTGCTTGAGGAAGTTGCTTTGGAGTCTTCCCGTTTGAACAGAATTCCCATTCAGGTGAGCGGTTTCTCTGTTTTGTCTGTAACTTCAGTGGTATCACAACAACTGGATGAAGTTTGGAGATTGACTCTCCATGGTTAATTTCAGGCTCAGAGGGATCTGTATCTCTTGCTCTCAAGGTTCATTTTATTTTACAATTCAGGTGATTAACTGTTCTTGGACATCTTGGAACCAAAAAATTTGTCTTGTTCCCTGACAACATCTTTTGCAGTTGACAAACTCGAAAGTTTCTTGGGGCACTTTCCCGAGCTTCCAAATGCGTTCTTGGTTGGAGGACCATCAGATTTCTTTGTTATCGAACTTACTGACCAGGTATAAAAGATAGTCCTTCCTTATGAGCAGATACCCTTCTGCTCTCCCTCTCTTTCTCTCTAGAGAGAGTGGCATTTACCTCAATTTCATGGGTGCAGCTGCAAAAGTTAAAAGTCGAGCCAGTACTGCTACATTATCTCTCTCAGATGAAGGTTCTTCATGGTATACATATTTATCTCTATCTCATTTCAGGAATACATGATTTAGATGCTGTTATCTACAAGTTTATTGAATCAAACTCAAAGAATATTGTAAACATCTGCAGGTATGGAACTTAGAATGACAACTAGTACGAGGTTGAAGGCATGTTTATACAGCTTCACTTCTCCCGGTGGTCCCATGTACCCCACGAGAGCCGTTCGTCATGCAGCATGGGACACGTTGGATTCGCTCTTTCCTGTGAGTGTGCTCTTTCTCTATAAAAGTTATAATCTTTAACCCATTTGTTGGATTTCAAGATCCACCCAACTGATTTAATAAACCTAAATGCATGGATATTGACAAGAGCTGGGGGCTAAATATTGATGTATTCGTCTATATCTCTGATACCCTTCAATTGTTTTTGCATATACACACAGATGCATTTGAACATAAACGCCATCTTGCAGTTGTCTACTGACAAATTTACAGGAAACATTCTTTCTTTGCTTTTGTAAATGGGTTTTCATAACCAGTTACTTTGTGCAGGTGGGGAGATACCCAAGGCATCTAATAAGCTTGTTTTTCCGGTTGTTGTACCCATGGTACTGGCCTTCCTCTTGTTGGAACTTTGTTGTTTCCTGCATTAAGACTCTGTTGTATTCGCTTGTCGGGCTTATCTTTTCGCGGCGGGAGAAGCCAAGACGATGTTGAACTGATGATATATTTGGTTCTATCCGCCATTGAAGAGGGTACCAAAGTTTGCATGGATATGTGAAAAGCCAAGACTGAGATGTACATAAAACCTTTTCTCCTCTCTTGGGAATGGCTTTCTATGTTTTGTTGTCACTGTCGTCGATTGTTATATATAAATATTTTATATAGAGGCTGTGTTGTATTTATGACCAAAACAATGAACAGAAAGCCTTGGTCTTGTTCTTTGGCAATACAGGAGGGGGAACATGTCTTTACTGTGCTTGTTTACTGCTCTTTTCTGTGTTGACCAAGTTACTTTTTTTTTCTATGGGAAATCCGAAATCTCTTGTAATTGTTTGCCCGGAATCTCCACCGTTCGGAGACTTTTCATCCGTTCGATCGGATCATGATTTCACGTAGTAACTCATGGATCTATACAGCAAGCACTCGATCATTAGTTCCTCTTCCGCCGCCGAGAAGTTCGTCATCCAGATTCCAGCCCATTAAAAGTTGTTGGTTCTTTATTTTCTCTGAATCGACCGTACCCGATATTCTGCTATCCGGGCAGTCTCAGCTTGGACTTCGGTTCGTGGATTGGTCTCCGATTCAGAGAAATTTCAGTTCTTTAGAACCAGTGGCCTCTTCAGCTGTATCCATGGGTGTCTGATCATGCGGACACACCAAACGAAACCGAAGAAGAAAATGAACAAAGATCTTCCCAAGGGAAACAAAAATCCATTATCAAGCCAGATTTTGATCTAAACGAATGCCAATTGAACAGCTCCAAGTCAATTCAGCAATATAGTTGCAGTAAGTACCTTCCACCATCCCTGGATGACTCGGAAATTTCAGGAAATCACTGGCAGACGATGGCAAGAAGGAAAGCCAACAACACTACACTAAATTGAAAACCACAATATTCAAATTGAATTCATGACAAAAGGCCAAATTCAAATTCAAAACATATATATAGCAGCGATTATAATACCAGAAACTGGGGAAACAACTAACGTAGGAATTACATGGACCCATCTCTAACCCTAAATCCGTTCACCAAAACACAGAAAACCCTAATTCACAATTCAGGAGCTAGTAAATTTTGTCACGGCCTTGGTCCCCTCGGAAACAGCGTGTTTCGCGAGTTCTCCAGGAAGGACGAGCCTGACGGCGGTCTGAATCTCGCGAGATGTGATTGTGGGCTTCTTGTTGTACCTGGCGAGTTTAGAAGACTCCTGAGCGAGCTTCTCGAAGATGTCGTTGATGAAGCTGTTCATAATCCCCATGGCCTTGCTCGAAATTCCGATGTCAGGATGAACCTGCTTCAAAACTTTGAAGATGTAGATCTTGTAGGTCTCGACACTCTTCTTCTTCATCTTCTTCTTCTTGTCGCCGCCGGCTCCGGCCTCCTTCGGCAGCTTCTTTCCAGCCTTAGGTTTCTTCTCCGCCGGAGCTTTCTCAGCCTTTGCCTTCTCCTCCGCCGGCTTCTTCTCGGCGGGCTTCTTCTCTGCCTTCGGCGCCATGGATACTTTCTACTTCTCTCGGTTAAACAAAACAAGGCTTTAAAAAGTTTCGAATTTAGCAGTGAACAGAGAGAGCGCCCCGGTGTCGGTTTTATACAAGTATAAAAATTTATATGATTGGACAATACTCAGAGACGAGGATCGATGACATGTCAGATTACAACCGTTGATTCCTGTTTTCTCGATGGGTAGAAATCGACAGTGCAAAACCAATCTTGAAAGGTTCGCGTCTTTCCACGTGTCGCATTCTTAGTGGTTAACCGCGCCGTGAAAGAAATTCATTCCCGCCAGTCGTTTGCTTGAAAAAGTTTTCACACGACCCATTTCTTTATGGGCCAATTCAAACTCGATTTAATTTGGACTTCCAAACGTGGACCTTGAGCCCATCCAACTAGGCCCGACCCGACCCGTCCGGGTTCGCACAGTGTTACAATTACAATTAGCTGTTTGAAAAGACAAAAATAACCTTAAAGAAACATGATACTTTCAGACAGATCTGGGAACAACATGATTGCATTACAAAAAGAACCAACTTGCCTACTAAGACGCCTAAATTCTTCGTTCCCTTTGATTTCCACTCTCCTAATGTTATTTCTCTCCCAATCATAATAGAAAATATATAACGATTCAGATTCAGTTTCCTCATCGTATCTCCGAACCAAAACAATCTCCTTTGTATGCTTCGATGCCCCAAGAAAACATAAAGTTGTCTCCCATTGTAAATCTCCGTAACTCGGCGAGACGTACGCCTTCTTCGACCATTCTTCTTCTTTCCCGACATCCTCAAGAACATAAAACTCGAACCCGAAAGTAACCCCAAATGTATGATAAGATATGATAGCCAACTTCCCATCATGATCTATCAGAGTTGAACGAGAGAAAAAGTCTATGTGAGATTCTTTCGGTGGTTTGATCAGATCAAAATTTTCGGTTCTAACGTCAAAACGTACGATCGGAGGATTTCGGGTGAACCTCGAAGCTCCATAGTAAAGAACGCCATTGATACATAAACCACACGACGGATACTCGGACCGGATACCTTTGATCTTTCTCCACTCTTTCTGGGAACTCGATAACGTGAAAACCCAGTGCTCAGTATCCGATTCTTCTCTCACGACCTGGTCATAGTTAGGGTTATGCGTTATGGACAGCACTTTGTATTGATGACTGACGTGATCGTACCCGAAAAAGCTATACATAAGCGTTTTCTTGGATCCGATTTCGGGTAAAGTTACGAACTTTTTCGTGGCAGGGTTGCATATCGAAAGCTCATGAGCATTTTGGCTGCAGAACAGTCCGTGGATGGACTGAGTGAAGCGCAAACATAACGGGATCGTCATCTCGTGACTGGCCACGAGAATCGAGTCGTGGCCGTGATTTTCCGGGTGAGGCGACGAGTATAAGACGGAGTGTCTGCGTTTGGTGTCCGGGAAAGCCACGAGCAGACGCGGGCGAGTCGAAGATCGAGCCAGGAACGAGTTGGCGAAGTGTGGGCTGTGGATGATGGATGACCAATCCTTCGATACGCATTGGGATCTCACTAGGGTTTTTGCCGGAAGTCTGGAGAGTATCTCGAACGTGAGATCAGGAGTGATGATGGGATTTGAGACATCTTCGGATTCTCCTCTGTTTCTTACCGAACAAGTTTGTGAATTCTGGTTGAGTTTTGTTCTACAGATCTCTGTCATCTTCTTCTTCCCTAGCAGAATACTCATGATCCTGAAGATGGCCACCAATTTTGTGAGGATCTTTGATAGTGAGATTGAAAACAACCCAAATGGAGAATTTCCCGGCGGAGATTCCGTCGGCATATCGGTTGTGTGAGGCAGAGGTTTCTGCCATGGCGGTTGCCCTAATCAATGGAAAATAGAATTCGGTTAAAAAAGGAAAATATCCCAATAAGATTTCCTAAACTGCTCTACTTGGTAATTAATTAATTATTTTATTTACATAACAAGAAAAGGAATATTACTCGAAATAGTTCGTAACTAAAACTGAAAACTTGAAAAATATTAATTTCAAAATGGAAGAACATAATAAATGGATTATGGAAAGATATAGAAAAAGCTGAAAACTTGAAAAGGTAAAAATAATATGAGAGCAGTGAGTGAGATATGATGAAAACATGGATGCAAACTCAAATTTCTCCGAACATTTGTTGTGATATACATGTAATCTATACATATATATATATATATATGATTGAAACCTGATCATGTATGTAATCTATACATATATATATATATGTACTATTGACGTAAAAGAGCAGCCATCATCAAAGTGTTATGTAAAGTGTTATGTAAAGCTAAGAATACTACTTTGATCAAACCTGAATGACCCGTCGCAGTCTCCTTTGACATCCTTTTTGTTAGATTCTCTCTCGGGTCCTCTGCTACTTGCAACTTCAACCAAGATTAATCTGCCAATTGACAATCTAGAAAGAACGATACAGAATCATCAAGGTCAGTAGCGCAAGACTAACAGAACCTCTGCAACAAGAAAAACAATCCATTTCCTCGAAGAAATCAACAGGAACCGTTGAACCAGACAACAAGGCATTCACAAATCTGCAGGAATCCATATATCGGCTACAGACAGACTTCAGAATTAGAATCAATTCAGACTCGAATAAGGCGAATACCGTCATCCCAACCCAAGAATGAATACTACAGCTCCTTGGCAACAAGGAAAGACTAAACAGATCATAGAATGAGAATCTGCCGTTCAAGGCTTTCAAAATGCCTTTGGTGCATCATTCTCTGATTCAAACGCCACAAAGCCAAAGCCTTTCGGCCTTCCCGCTTCTGGGTCCCTAACAAGACGAGCTACGAAACACATGTAAGGAAAATAATTTAGAAACATATAAAAGAATCGGCTATAACAGTACCAAAAGGCGAAAACAGGACCGATCACGGGTGTAAGCAGAGAGCCTTGCAAGAGAAGAAGAAATAAACTATGAGGAACCCAGAGTCTGACAAAACAAAATCTAATCACAAAGAAGAAGAGTCTTACTGCTTACGAATAGCTCAGTGGCGAGTTTCTTTGTCAACGAATCAACACAGAAACGCGAAAACCTCCAAAAGACACCGTTTCAGGAGAATCAAACGTCGGATTCATTTCATATCAAAATTGGATTTCGTAGTTACATCGAAGATGGAAACGAGACACACGAGAAATTTTCAGAATTGACTATCAAATCTCAAGTAACCGGATGACCCTAAACCCTAACCCTAGATACAGAGCACCATCATCAAAAAACAACCGAACCCGGCGACAAGAATTCAAGCGCTGGTGAATTTCGTCACGGCTTTGGTACCCTCTGAAACAGCGTGCTTTGATAGCTCTCCGGGAAGAACAAGCCTGACGGCGGTCTGGATCTCCCGCGAAGTTATGGTAGGCTTCTTGTTGTACCTCGCGAGTCTTGAAGCCTCTTGAGCGAGCTTCTCAAAGATGTCGTTGATGAAGCTGTTCATGATTCCCATGGCCTTGCTCGAGATCCCGATGTCGGGATGAACCTGTTTAAGCACCTTGAAGATGTAGATCTTGTACGTCTCCGTGCTCTTCTTCTTCATCTTCCTCTTCTTGTCACCTCCGGCTCCGGCCTCCTTCGGTAGCTTCTTACCGGCCTTCGGTTTCTTCTCCGCCGGAGATTTTTCGGCCTTCTTCTCCGCCACCGGCTTCTTCTCCGCCGGCTTCTTCTCAGCCTTTGGTGCCATTGTAGTCAGAAAATAAAAGAGAGAGATTTTGACAGATGAAGTTTGAAGTATTATTCGCTAAACTCGCTATATATATACGATAATGAATCAGATATCCATTGGTTGATTGGTATCCCACGAGGATTGATGACGTGGATAAATCAAAACCCGTTAGATTTAACATTTCCGGGTACTCAACCGACGGCAACGATTGCATCTTAATCATTAAAACACTTACATCTCCTATGGATAGCTGACGTGTTATGATATGAGGCGAAGAACTACGGCCCATAATTAGCCCAACAAGATGTTTTGTCAGCCCATAATTAGCCCAAACCCCTAATTGCCGTGTGACTTTGTAGACGCCGTGAATTGAAAATTCTAAATAAATACATCAATTTATTAATTTTTTATTAATAAATACATAAATTTTTTATCCCTAAAAATACTTCATTTTATAATTCTTTTTCAGATTAATACATAGATACTAATACCATTAACTCTTTAACGGTTTACGTACTGATGTGGCTCACCAATTTCAACACCACATGTCAAAATATTTCCATATCATTAAAAAAAATAAAAATAAAATTAATTTCAATAAAAATAAATTTTTAATTTAAATTAAAAAAAAATTAAAATTAAAAAAAATTAAAAAAAAAAAATTAAAAATTAAACAATTTTAAAATTCAAAATTTATGGTTTTAAAAATTTTAAAAATAAAATTTAAAATTTAAAATTTAAATTTAAAATTTTAAAATAATATTAAAAAACTAAAACTTTAAAATTTAAAATTAAATATATACATACATATATGATAATATATATATATATACATATACGTATATTTCAATATATATATACGTATATATATAAATACACATACATCTCAATATGCACGGTGGCCGCCTAACGCTTGAAACGACAAAATTAAACAATTTTAAAATTCAAAATTTATGGTTTTAAAAATTTTAAAAATAAAATTTAAAATTTAAAATTTAAATTTAAAATTTTAAAATAATATTAAAAAACTAAAACTTTAAAATTTAAAATTAAATATATACATACATATATGATAATATATATATATATACATATACGTATATTTCAATATATATATACGTATATATATAAATACACATACATCTCAATATGAATATATATAATATTTTTTTTATTTTTTAAAATTTTTTATTTTTTAAAAATTTTTATTTTTTAAAAATTTAAAATTTTAATTAAAATTTTATTTTATTTAGGTTAATTTGAAATTTGTTTTTATTTTTTAATGACATGAAAAAATTTTGACATATGGTGATGGCGTGAAAAATCCAGTAACTCACGTCAGTACCGTTTATTGGAAACCGTTACAAAATTAACGGTGTTAATGATCGTGTAGTAATTTGGAAGGAAATTACGAATTGATATATTTTTTTAGAAGATAAAAAATTCATTTATTTATCGGTAAGAAATTAGCAAATTGATATATTTATATGGAATTTTTCCTTCAAAGTTGTCATATATTTATTATTTAGATAGTATGAATGTGTCCGAACATAGTTAGAATAATGGGCACTGATTTTCAAAAATATAATATTCTAATATTTGAATTTCTCCCTTTAACACAAAAATACATTTATTCTAGATCATTAGGGTAATGTACTTCCGGTATCACGAAAATTAATTTTAATAATATTAATAACTTCAATATTAATCTTAATATTAATTAATTGACTATCAAAACATATACCCTTATTGTTATCCTTTGTTAAAATATGTCAAAAGCAGACATCAGCTTAGCTGTGTAACAGTGTAAATGAATACCAAATTGAATTATTCCGTTTTGATAGTTTCTTTATAACATATTACGCTGATTTATTTGATGCCAGTTCATCTGCCCATATGACCCGCCACCGAAGAATGACACGTGTCGGTTGGCCTCGCCCAATAAGAGAACGCCACCTATGCTCTCTTTATTGGACAGCTAACGGCTTCGGACTTGACGGCCCATTAGGCTTCCTTCTTTCTTCTTGGCCTTCTCTCTCTCTCTCTCTCTCTCTCTCTCTCTCTCTCTCTCTCTCTCTCTCTCTTCCATTCTCTAACATGCGCCGAATATGATATCGTACACGGTCTAACATGCGCTAGGGTGATATCGTACACGCGAAGAAGAAAACGAGGAAGGAGAATATGCAGAAGCAGAAGCAGAAGAAAAAAAGAGAAGAAACGAGAGGAAGCTAAATTGGGAGTGGCGTATCTTGGTCGTCCGCCATATCCTTCGCTCTCACTCCTCCGATTACCACGGTTCTTCTCTCCGTCGTTTGTTTCGGTTCGTGTTCTTCCTGATCTTCTCCATTCATGGCCCATTCCTTTTTTTTATCGCTTTCATTTCGATGAGCAAATGAAATTTTGGTTGATCTCTGATTTCTCCTTTTAGATTCAATGGCTGCTCCTCCTGCTAGGGCTAGAGCCGATTACGATTATCTCATAAAGCTTCTATTGATCGGAGATAGCGGTACGTGATCTGAAGCTTCTCTGGTGTGTATTATTTTTTTTTTCTGGCGTTTTCTCAGGAATCGAACGCATCTGATTTTCCTTGGATCACCAGAGATTGCTAAACCTTGTTCTGTTTTGCATTATGCATTTGATTTGTTGATATCGATCTCGAAATGCCAGATTCGATATTCTATTTGGAACCGATCTGGGCATTGCGGTATTGCTTGCATCGTGATTTATGGTCAATGCCCGGGTGGTGATTTGGGTCAGGTGGTGATTATTTTTGGATATTTTCGGATTTGTGTAACTTGTTCTATGAACAATCCTCCCTGCAGGTGTCGGTAAAAGTTGCCTTCTTTTACGTTTCTCTGATGGCTCCTTCACCACTAGCTTCATTACCACCATTGGGTTTGTATTCCTTCAGCCATTGGGAAACTAAACACAGCCATGTCTGTTTCTCTGCTACCAGACATCTTATCGGGTCTGTTCCTTTTGTTTTGTTGCAGTATTGATTTTAAGATAAGAACTATTGAACTTGATAGCAAACGCATCAAGCTCCAAATTTGGGACACAGCTGGTCAAGAACGGTTTCGAACAATCACCACGGGTGAGTCCATCTTTTTCCTCTAAACTGCTTTTTTTGAAATGGTAGTTTGCATTAAGATTGCTAGAGACATTAGAGATAGAGACTGGACTAGATGGTGATGATAAACAGCTTTGAACAAGTTTAGGAGTCACAGCTGATAGATTACTATGATCTATTGTGAAATGGGCTTAAGCATATTGCTCATGTTTTCCCATAGCTGATATCTTTGGTGGATAAGTGTATTTGATGTTAATGGCCTATTTATGAGGTTTAAATTGAGTGTTCTCCTTAGTCTCAGCTCTAGTTTGAAGAATTTATTCTCACCTCCCCTTTTTCCTTTACATTTACACAGCTTATTACCGTGGGGCAATGGGCATTTTGCTGGTGTATGATGTCACAGACGAGTCATCTTTTAACAGTAAACTTTCGTCCATCAAGTCTTTCACATACGGGTTCATATAGATGCTCTGCTGGAAGGATCCTTCCTTGGACTGACCATCCGGTGTTGGTCTTAGACTTGGTTATTTTGACATTATTGCAGATATCAGGAACTGGATTCGCAATATAGAACAGCATGCCTCGGATAATGTTAACAAGATCTTGGTAGGGAACAAGGCCGACATGGATGAGAGCAAGAGGGTAAGTGTAAAAGCTAGTTCTACCCGACCTTATACCCGCATCCTTATTCACGTCTGATCCCGTTCTCCCTCCTAACACAATTTTCAGGCCGTGCCAACATCAAAGGGCCAGGCACTCGCTGATGAGTACGGAATCAAATTCTTCGAAACAGTAAGCCAACCATTAATTGTCTCGATCCATTCATTACCCTCGACCAGATCAACCCTACTTACGTAGCTAGGCAATGTCGTGTTACAGAGTGCCAAGACAAACCTCAACGTCGAAGAAGTCTTCTTTTCGATAGCAAGGGACATCAAGCAAAGGCTAGCGGATACTGACTCAAAGGCCGAGGTTTTTAACACCCACTTTTTTTTTTGTATTTTCTTTTACGAAACGATCTGAAAGCCCGTTTTTTTCGCCGATAAATTTCAGCCCGCGACCATCAAGATAAGCCAAGCGGACCAGGGAGCTGGAGCAGGCCAGGCTGCACAAAAGTCCGCATGCTGTGGAAGTTAAAAACAAGAAGGGAAGTTGAAGATGAGGTTGAAAGGGTTGTCTTGCGGGTGCAGAGAACTGATTTGTCATATGGGTGGCTGCTTCTGTAATTCTTTTTTTTTTTTTTCCTTTTTCGAATTTATAATATTTCCATAAATTGTCATTTTTATTTAGCTTGCGTGAGAGTAGTAGAATCTCATTGATATCGTTCAGGCGGATTCCTTCGTCGTGTGACTTACTCGATACTTGCTTTGTCTTAATTGCTCGATACTTTTATTCTCTCCTTCGCTTCGATCATTAGATCTCTGTGTTCATTGGGACACGTCACGCACATTGTTTTTGTAATTTTGTAACTAAACAAATAATTTATTGCAAAATTTTAGTTTTTTTTAAAACATCATTTAATCGTAAAGCATTGTTGTGTTTAATGCATGATCTTCTATTAACCCCAAAACAACGTCTTTAAAACGGATACAAACCAAACATTAAACCGAGCCCCACAGTGTAGCTAAACCAATTCACATAACCGGATGTAAACCGGTCAAATTCAAAATGTAATTCAATCGTCGAATATATGATGGCCGTGCGTAAAACACATTATCTATGATAATCGTGGTTTAAATCCGTGGTAGATGGCAGGATACGCTGGAGTCTAGACTCTAGAGTATTCAAATGTTCACGATGACAACATGTTTCCCATTTTCAATAAGAGACTTCAAATGCGTTGGTTCAATGCATATATACGATTTAGACAAGTCTAGGCATACGTCACATTTCTCATTTTATAATTTATATAAATGTTTTTGTATCTGTTTCATACGATTCAAAAAATGTAATACATGTGTGTGTATATATAGTATATTGCATAGAATAATCTAAGTATTTAAATAAACTTTTATAAAATAATATTAATTTTATATGTAATAAATAAAATCAACCTAATACCGGTTGTTTAATTTCTTCCAAAATTGTAATATTATATATCATCGAGGCAACAAAAAAATGTGTAGAATTTTGAGTGCATGTACGATGTACCTGCCCTCCGTCTTTTATAGAGTTTGAGTTTTCACATTAAATATTAAAGAAAAATTAGCATTATCTAGATGTTTGATTTTTTTTTTTTATGTTTTTTTAGTATATTTGTAAAAATAATCATATATTTTTTCTAGAATTATTATTTATATTTTATAAATTAACAGCAAATAAAACTGTATATGTATCTAGAAATAATGATTTAAAATCAATTGATAAAAATTAAATTTACAACATCATGCGTTGATATTAAAATTCTAAATCCGTCTCTCTTATACCATATATGTTAATTTTAATTTATCATATTCTTTATAAACCACAAGTTAAAATTTAAAACATATTTTACATTTTACTTATCACATGTTTATTTTAAAAATATATAGACTAAGAAAATATCATAAATTAAAATATTTTCTTAATTTTATTATATAGTGTTTGTATAAGAGATGGTGAAATGGGCGATTCAAACAAATACATGATATAATTTTAGTATATATTAAATTCATAATGTTTTGAGAAGAAAAACGCATTTAAAGGAGAAAAACGCGGTTTGAAATATATATTTAATTCTTGCAAGCTATCGCTTACTTAGTTTTCTTAACTTTGAAAAACAGAAATATAATGCTCCAAAATCAGAAAACCATGGCAAATTATATCTATAGCCAACGTAAAGGAATTAATCCAAAACGGAATATGATCATATTATGATAATATAATTCCTCGAGTATTATAATAACAAAATATATTCACAACCAAAATATGGACCGATAATTATTAAAAGGAGAAATTAAACCCTATGAAACTTTACGCGTACGTAATTTATTTATACATTCCTACGAGTACGAAAAGAAAAATAAATGAATAAATCAATAAACTGTTCTTCCAAGCTCCAACTTCAGATTCAAATTCTCCGTTATTGCCAAGTCGAGATCCAAACAAGCAACCCTCTTCCCGTTACTGCTCGACTTCTTCATCATCACCGTCGGCTCCGGCAGCAAGGCGCGTGTGACCAACGCGCCACCGCCACCGCCACCGCCACCGTTACGGTGCCTCCTCATGTGTCCGCCGAGGGCCTGTCCCATCGGAAACTCAACGCCGCAGATAGGGCAAGCGTGAGACGACGTCGTCTTGCTCTTCTCGGAGATTCCGGCGACACCCCCGCCGTAGCCTCGCCGTGGATGAGTTTCTTGTGGCTGGCACGGTGGCCGCCTAACGCTTGAAACGACGGGAACTCCTTCATACACGTCTTGCATGTGAAAACGCGTCTCTCTGCGACGTCGTTTCTGCCAACTCTCGGTAACAGCATCAAGCAGTTCGCCTCCATATCTTGAATCTCCGAGCTCGCATCCATAATAATAATAGCAAAAGAAAAAAAATATATATAACAAATGAATTTGGAGAACCTAAGAATTTGTGGGTTTTATAATTCGTCTGTGTTTTTTTTTTTTCAGTTGGTGTTGTGTTGTCTGGACGAGTGTCTTATATATATATGGATTGGGTCGGTCGTTTACTTAGACTGAGCAGAAAAGACGGAATGGCCCCGGTGACTTGGTGAGGAAGGAATCGGGAATGGAGTGGTAATATCGTAATTAAATAGGAGGAGAGTGGCAAAGAAAGGGGAGTGGCGGCGGGTGTGTCACGGTTTGCGTCACCGCGTAACTTGGGAGACTAAGGGAGGAGTCGTTATGTTGGAATTTTCCTCGTGCTTTCGAAGCGCTCTCTCTAGAAGAAACCCTAAATTCCGAACCTACTCTCTCACTCTCCACGCGCTTCCCACTGGCGCGTGCGTTATTAAGCAATGACATCATCAACCCGTTGTGTTGGGGAATATCTCATACACATGTACGCGTATATATGTCTTCTAGATACGTGTAGCTACGTTTCCTTCCTTGACAATCGTATATATCAATTTTTTTGCCAAAATATATTATATATTTATTATATGATTGATGCAGAAAAAATTGTTTACCAGTTATATATCCATCTATTAAGAATCATTTCAAAATACATAATATAAAAACTAAAGTAATGGTTTTCTAAAAATTATTTGTAGATTTATTGTGTTATATATATATATATATTATTTGTTTGGTTTTTATAAAATTATATTAATTACAATATATAGATATATCCATTCATTTACTAAACAAAAGTGATAGATGATGTAAACTATTGACCGGAATTAGATACTAATTTACTAAATAACCAAAGACTTTGAATTCTCAAACTTGTTCACATTTTCTCCTCACCTTGTTCATACTCTTTAATTTTTTTTGCCAAATCTATGAGGTTTCAGTTATCACGCAAGAAAATATCAAACGAGTTTTACCAAAAAAAAAAAGAAAATATCAAACGAGTTATGATAGACCACGAGTAGGAGTGAGATGCACGCGTCGATTGTGGCGCGTGGGGTGCGGTGACCGAATTGACTTGCGCCTATAAAAGGAGTATCTAAAACGATAAAAAGTGTGGAAGTGTGTACGGAGACAGGAGAGAGACGTGGGAAGCAAGTAGAAACGTTTGGAAAGTGCATTTCCACGCGGTCTCTATGTTGCCATGTAATGTTTTTTTTTTAACCGGGTTTTTTAGAACGAGAACCAAACTAATTTCGGGGTCGGAAGCTATCAATATGATTTAAATTATGCGTTCTCTCTCCAGTTTGGGATTCGATCTTAGAACAGAACAGACGTTTTGCACCCGTTTCACCGGTTGAACTATCCAGATTGGGTATATATAATGTTATGTTAAGCTTCTTCTCTTCTCTTCACACTTCCCCTTCGTCCATATATTAAATTATAATTGTTTGGTATCATATACTATACACTAATTAAAATATATATTTACATATATATATATATGGCCTTCAAGTTTCTATTTTTATTCCCTTACCAAACCAAACAAGGATGTCTAAATACTCCTAACCGTGTGACATTTATGTTCGTTAAAACGCAGGGAAATTCACCAAAATTATATTTTTTATTTGACAGAAAATATTACCCCTAAATCCAATTTTGGCAAGTTTGGTATTCATATAGCAGGTATCCTTGTGAAACCGAGACCGGGATAATACCATCATGAAACAGTGGGTAAAAATCCAAGACTGGACCTCCAAAAACTCGAATACATGACCTACACCTTCTACACCTTCTGTAAGAATAAGTATTTTGGGTTCTTATTGGTGTACTTGCCAATTCATGTATTTTCTGATAAATATTTTAATATATTTATATAACTACATGAGATTTTCTCTACACACAGCACTGAATTGCTTATTATTCTACTAATGCTCACACTTCTTAGAATCAAATTAGTTTTACCGTATAGTTTTATTTGGTCAATGATATAATTTCCATTTTTTTAAAACTGGGTTTTCCATTTAATGTTTTAATTTCTTAATTAATTTCAAAATTATGGAAAAAAATCATCGAGCACCTAAAAAAAGTGGATCCTATTTACCGTTAAGAATAAATTACCGGTTGATTAGGAAATGAAAAGTTGAACGCGACCAAGTGTAAACCTCTGAATCGTTACGAAGGTTCTGAGTGTGGCTGGGGCTAGCCCAAGCGTGCACATCGAGAGGCTGACGTGGCAGTTGTCACAGAACCTCAACCAACAAGAACTCAAAAAGGAGGAAAAAAAAGGGGAGGGGAAGAGAGTGAGAGAGCGTGGGGGAGAGAGAGAGAGAGAGTCGTCGGCTATTCAGCGACTCGAGCGATTCTCAGCTTGTAGAAGGAGCGAGAGCCGGAGAACAGGCGAGGCATTTTCGTCCGATTCTAGTGAGGTATCACCCCGATCCTGCCGGATCGACGGATTTTTTTTCTCCGCCGACGGTTTCCCGGCAATCTCTGTCGCGTATTCGACATCTCTCAGCCCAACGGTATTCTCCCGTAGACTCTCCATCTGGACACGAATCGAAGCACTGTGACGTGATTTCTTATTGATTCTGTCGTTAATATGTTGGGTATTGTTTTGGTTTTTGTTTTCTTCAGCCAGGTTAGGGAGGGGGACAGGAAGGCGGAGTTTCGAGAGGTGGATGGGCCATGGCTGAGCCGGATTTGATAACCGGAGCGAAGGAGAACAGGTTATGGAAAGGTCTATTTGCGGTGACCGGGATTATGACCACTCTTGTTATATACGGTGTTCTACAGGTCTGTTTGTTTTGGTTCCATTTCCGTGTTTCGAATTGGATTTCATGTCCTCCGCGGCAGGATCTTACTTGTTTATGAGATTTTCAACTTAGGGATTTCTTATTCGAAGGGGCCATCGTTTCTTTGGACCATCTCTTCTTGAATTGATTGAATAATATTAGTGGGTTTAGTTAACCTCCTATTGAATCGGCTAACGAGCATGTCTTTGTTGTAGAACCTAGAAGAACCGACACCGAAAAAGCTACATGGAAATCTGTATTCCCGTTTCTGTTTTCTTTTTAATGGTGTTAAAGCTCGCGATTGTAAGTGGGAGAATGATGTCAGAGGATTTTACCTAAATTTCTGTTTCAAGGAAATCTGTGGGGGTTTGGAGTCTTTGGACTTGAAGCGTTTCTTAGTTAAAGCCCATGAAATAAATGAATTCTACACTAATTTTTTACTCTTTGGCTATGTGAATTGGTTGGTTGATTCTTCTTTTGATTGCAGGAAAAGATAATGAGAGTGCCATATGGGAACAAGGAGTACTTCAAGTACTCTTTGTTTCTTGTTTTCTGCAACCGGCTAACTACATCAGCTGTATCAGCTGGCGCATTACTGGTAACCAGCAAACTCAAGTTATATTAACTTCATTTTCTTTAGTTTTTTTGGGCTGTGAGGGGTTGGGTTTGTCTTACGGTTAAGGGTGAAGGGCAGTTTGATTAATGTTGCTGAGGTAGTTAACTGACTATTTCATTGACCGCATACTTGCATTGAGAGGCATATGCTCTCCTTTTTCTTTTCTTTGTTTCTTAGGCAAGCAAGAAAGTTTTGAATCCCGTAGCTCCTGTTTACAAGTATTGCCTTATATCAGTGACCAACATCCTAACCACAACATGCCAGTATGAGGTAAGGCATGCCTTTCGTTGCTTCTAAATTAATGAAGTTAGCATGTGTATTGTTATTTTACCTTCAGCAATGATTCCAGGCCCTCAAGTATGTCAGTTTCCCTGTACAAACTCTGGCAAAATGTGCCAAAATGATCCCTGTAATGGTGAGTGCTGACATTATTTCTGGTGAAGTGGGCATCTTACACTTGTCGGTTTATCAACTTGTTCTAATTTTCAGGCTTTACGCAGGTTTGGGGAACTCTGATCATGCAGAAAAAGTACAAGGGGTTTGACTATTTGGTGGCTTTTCTGGTGACACTTGGATGCTCTATCTTTATTCTTTTTCCGGTAAAACCTTTCATATACATTTCATCATTCTCTGCAAATGGTTTTATTGGTAATAATACAGCAATCAATTTGAACATCAAGCCGCAATGGACTGATTTTTCTCTATGCATTTGAATTGAAGGCTGGAGATGATATTAGTCCATACAACAAGGGAAGGGAAAACACTGTTTGGGGTGTTTCCCTGATGGCTGGTTATCTAGGGTATACCTTTTCAAGTTACACTTGTTTATTATCTGTCGATGCTTTGTTGATCATCTGGCTTTAAAATAGAAACCTCAGTAATTATATGATAATGCTGATGTTCTCGTATTGATGATTGGCGAACAGGTTTGATGGTTTTACCAGCACTTTCCAAGACAAACTCTTTAAAGGTTATAATATGGAGATACATAACCAAATATTCTACACTACACTTTGTTCCTGTGTTCTCAGTTTCACTGGTGAGAATCCTGCTCTTTTCAGTTATCTTTAACTGTAATGTAACACTTCAGTCTCGTCTGCTGGTTGCTTCTTGTATCCTATGTTGCATGTATCTTTTCCCATCCATTGGAACTTGTTATCTCTCCTGCGTAAAACATGAATCCTGGACACCCAAAGAATAGCAGAAATCAAATTGGTCGTATTCTTTTGCTTACAAACCGGGGAACCTCCTGTTTGATGCAGGACTTATGTTGCAAGGACATTTTCTAGCAGCCATAGACTTTGTTTCCCGGCATAGGGATTGCCTGTTTGATATAGCTTTGCTATCCACAGTAAGTTTCCTCTACTCTTCTGCATAACCAATGGTATATCATGTCGTGCCGGAGAACTTGCTTTGAACATCCATTTGGAACTAGTTATCCATTGTACTCTCTAACCAGGGATAGATAGATATTAGGGATATATATATATATATATCCGAGAAGATGTATGAGAAGCTACAGTACATAGAAGGAAAAATTATAGTTTCTAGTGTAATGGAGACAAATAAAAGGTATTAGATGATATCGAAATCTTAATGGTTTATCCCACAACTTTACGGAATGAAAACATAACCTCCAAAGGGGGAGAACCTATTTCTCTTTTTTGTATCCATGATTCACGCTCAAATGGATGTGAGCATGTGTTGCAGGTGGCAACAGCAAGTCAGTTCTTCATTTCGTATACCATTAGGACATTTGGGGCTCTCACTTTCGCAGCCATAATGACGACTAGACAGGTACACTGTCTGAAACCGTTCTCTCGGTTTTATCTTTGACTGACTGACGTTATTTCTCCCTTTTTTTATGAGAGCGAAGCTTGTGAGTATAATGCTCTCCTGCGTTTGGTTCTCACACCCGCTTAGCTGGGAACAGTGGATCGGATCAGTAAGGCCCCAAAAACTCTTTCTCATGATCTTTGTACGGATCCCCCGACCAAATTGAAATACTTTTTTTTTTAACTGATTTTGGTCGCATTCAGGTAATCGTTTTCGGGTCTCTGTATTCCAAAAACTTGTTGAGGAAGAGATCACAGAAGCAGCCGCTGCCTTCAGAACTTCCTCCACAGAACGGGGAGAATGACCCTCTCAAGGGACAACCTTAGCACCCACAAATTATCTGTCGATCCTTCTACATATCCTTTGCCGCGTCACATCTGAGTCTGACTAGAAAAGCAATGCCCTCCTCGCAATATTTAAAGAGAATGGATGGTAGGGTAAGCTAAAGCACATTGAGCCCTTTTGTCCTAGTGGAACAGTAGGCCCCCGAAAACTCTTTCTTATGATCTTTGGTGTGGTGGGCTTTGCGTTTAAGCTAAACCACATTGAGCCCTTTTTTCGTCACATAGAAGCTTTCTTCTGATGGAGACGTGATCTTCTTGTTTCTAATTCTATCTCGTAGAGTATGTTAAGAGCCCACTTCCTTTACGGGTTGGGCCGGCTATCCAACCTCAGTTTTTCGAATTCTGCAGTTTGGAAATTAAACTATCCATCCAGTAAGAATATCAAGGAGAAGCAATCTCTACTTACTAGTTCATCAGACCACCGGGTTGTATTGTACATATATATTCTAGTCAGTTGATTGATCGCCTATTAATGTGTCATGGGCCCTTAAATTATATATTTTGCCATGTTTTTATTTGTTTTCTTACTACTTCGTCGTAATATCTGGTGCAGTGTCCGGTCAAAACAGTTCTTCGAAAAGTTGTTGTGTTCTTAGATAGAAAACCCTTAACTTGGTTTTCTTGTTTCTAAGTACTTCATGAACTCGGAATTCTGCGAAATCACGGGTTTAAAACCATTTTTAAGGTACATGGGTTTGACGAGTTCGAAATCTTATGGCAAATGTTAAAGAGTGTGAGTTTCGTTAGGAGAAACACTGTGAATATTCAATTTTAGAATCGTATTTAAAGAAACAGCCACAAGTAAACAACAGAAGGCGTCAAAAATCAAAGGATGGACCCAAAAACAAAAAAAAAAGTCAAAGGAGTGTTGCGTCAGAATAATTAATGACGTGACGCAGTCTCTCTCTCTCTCTCTCTCTCTCTCTCTCTCTAATGTCTGGTTGCTGAGTCAAACGGTGCGTCGCATTGAAACCCCCATATGGTGAAGGCCTCAATTGCAGATATCGTCAGCGCATTAATTACTTAAAATACTTTACGCTCGAGATTAATATTCGTGTGTTTATATACGTATAAAGAAATACGCGTATACGAATGGGGGACAACGTATCATGACCATCTATCTATATTGGGATAATGTAATATTTCGCATATTATTCCGAAATTGATTTATAGTTTATGAAATAAAAAGCTACTAAGACAATGGAATGACGTTGAGATTGCTGCGTGATGCTCGAAGTTCTGTTTTCACCACCCCACGTATCAATATTTGATTAGAATTCCGGTTTTTTTATTGGTCAAAATATTCGCGTTTTATTAATATTCCGAAAATGGTAGTCTCTTAGCATTTGTTTATGTCTTATAACTATTTAATTAGACAGCTTTTTTAAAATAAAAAAATATGATGACACACGAATATGTTACGATGAAATTATACCAATAAATATATACTAGATTAAATATTGTTATTTCAATTAAACAGATAGTATCATTTAAATGAAACATTATTTTTCAATTGATTAGCAGTAAATCATATTTTGGGGTCTTAGGACAGCTAGTGATTGAATTTTCAACTGTATGATTACAGATTCGAAGTTCCAACGTTAATCTGTGTCCTGCCGCCAAATAAAAGTGATAATATTTTCTCAAAAGTGACACGTCAAAAGACCAGAAATTTCTAATTACATACATTTCTGATTTCTCCTTCTCCGCCATAAAGCACCTTCCCCTGGTATTGTTCCTTGTACGTTATAAGCTATATATATATATATACACACATATACTATAATAAAAAAAAAGTGTCAAAAGAATGAGTCGTAAAGATTACAAAATGAAATTTGTTTTTTCTAAGTAGTGATTAATTATTACTGATTGCAAAAAAAAGCCAGAGAATCTAGAAAGCGTGGCGAAGTTGCACGTGACTGCGTTCCCAAAACTACGATCCATGCATATCGGAACTCAACGAGCGCAAATCCGATCTACTTGTTCAAATTCGACAAGTCAGAGTTGGACACGTGGGCCCATGTTAATCGGTAACACATGGGTTTTGGGGGAATTGAAACCGGTTAAGAGCATACCGAATTACCGGTTATAGTTATTGAGTCGTGGTTTGTGGTTGCAGCCGAGGTGTACACTTTAAACAGGTAAACAGAAGATTATCGAAACTAAAGAGTGTTGAGTTATTTATGATTGCGCAACAATTTCTGGCTTTCTAAATGATAAACTAAGATGATTTCCCTATTTGTATGGGGAAATTTCCGACATTCATATACAGAAAATTATATAAACAAATCGATATAAATATGATTCATATGTTTTTCAAATAACGTTTGTTTAAATCATTATATATTGAATTTAAAAAAGCTCGTTACTTTTCGAATTTGGTCATATTTGACTCAACCAAGCACCGCGTTTTTTCCCTTCTAAGGAGCTCTCTCTCTCCTCCGTTTGATACCTCTACTTATACACATACGTATGTATATACGTATATCTTCTTTTAAAAACCCGCCATATATCCCTTATATATATAACATAAACAAATTGTTTCTCTCTAACTTCATCATCTTATCTGATTCAGTCGCAAGAAACAGACAAACAGAGACAGTGTCTTTACGCTAAAGAAGAGGCAATACACGAAGGAAAAAAAAAACTTTTTTGGCGAGAAATGGGGAAACACATGTTCCGATCATCTCCGCCGAAGGGAACGACGCCGTCTCCGGAGCGTCACCAGACGCTCGCCGAATCAGCCATGGAGGAGAGCATGGAAGCTGTTCACTCTGTGACTAGCAAATGGGCCTCTTCTTCTTCTTCTTCTTCTTCTTCGGGGTCAGATCGTGGTTTGATTTCTACTCCCTTTTCTTCTTCTCCTGTTTCTGGATTTCTATTCTCTTCGAATAGTCGCCAGGAGGCAGCGGAATTCGTCGGAGCAGTTAGGGATTTGCAGAGCACGATGCATCGATTGGTCTCTGTCAGTCCGGCGTCGGAGAAGCTGATTCGCGCGCAGAGCTTGATGCAATCGGCGATGAAGTTTCTGGAATCGGAGTTTTACCGGGTTCTGAAGGTGAATCGGGAGTATCTGGACCCGGAATGCGTCTCTGTTCGTTCCCACAAGTCTTGCAGATTCAGCACTTCGAGTGTTTCCGATTCCGACGGAGATAACAGCGTCGATGGTACCGACGATGAAGGCGATGAGATGAGATTCGCCGGTGGCGATTCCGACGCCATGGATGACCTGAGGATGATAGCCGATTGCATGATTTCCACCGGCTACGCGAAGGAGTGCGTTAGGGTTTACAAAACGGTGCGGAGATCGATCGCGGACGAAACGCTGCATAATTTGGGGGTGGAGCGGTTGAGTTTGAATCAGATTCAAAAGATGGACTGGGAGACACTGGAATCGAAGATCAAATCATGGCTGAGAGCCGTGAAATTCGCTGTCCGTACGCTGTTTTACGGTGAGAGGATTCTCGCCGACCACGTTTTCTCCGCCTCCTCTGCAATCGCCGAGTCCTCCTTCACCGACATTTCTCAGGAAGGAGCACTAACCCTGTTTGGCTTCCCTGAAAATGCTGCAAAGTTCAAGAGATTATCCCCCGAGAAAATGTTCCGTATCCTGGACATGTACGAGGCTCTCGCCAATCTCTACCCGGAGATCGAATCCATCTTCTACTTCGATTCAACAGCCGCGGTCAGATCTCAGGTCATCAACTCACTCGCCAGACTCGGCGACTCGGTGCGGTGGATGATGTCGGATTTCGAGTCGGCGATTCAGGGTGACTCCTCCAAGAAGCCGATTCCCGGCGGCGGAGTCCACCCGCTCACTCGCTACGTCATGAACTACCTCTCCTTCCTCGCCGATTACAGCGATTCCGTCGCCGCCATCTTCGAGAACTGGCAGCTCCCCGCCTCATCTCCCATGCCGGAATCCCTGTTATTCTCCGGCGACGCCAACACCGACCAGGACGACATCTACTCCTCGCCGGCGTCCGTACGAATCGCTTGGGTGATCCTCCTCACGCTCTGCAAAGTCGACGGCAAGGCTCAGCCATACAAGGACGTAGCCCTCTCGTACCTCTTCCTCGCCAACAATCTCCAGTACGTCATCATCAAGGTCCGGTCGTCGAACCTGAAGCTCCTCCTCGGCGACGAATGGGTCTTGAGGCACGAGGCGAAGGTGAAGCAGTACGCCGAGAAGTTCGAGAAGCTCGCATGGGGGAAGGTGCTGACGTCACTCCCGGAGGATCCGATGGCGCAGATTTCGCAGGAGGAGGCGATGGAGATATTCCGGCGACTCAACGACGAGTTCGAGTCTGCGTACCGGAAACAGAGCTCGTGGGTCATACCTGACCCGAAACTGAGGGACGAGACCAAGGTCTCGTTAGCTCGGAAGCTCATACCGAGTTACCGCGAGTTCTACGAGGGAAACCGGGCCGAGTTGGTCCGAGAGACGTACAATGAGGGTATTGTCAGATTTACCCCTGAAGATTTGGGAAATTACCTCTCGGACCTCTATTTCGGTACCAGGGGCTCGGGCAATGGTTCAACAGTGGGATCGGGATCCGGATCCGGTTACGGGTCAGGGTCGTCGGCCTCGGGTCACTCGCGGGGCAGATGAAGCCGTTAAGCGATATTTCGCTGAGATGTTCGCGATATATGTTAAGAGTGATTATATTATTTTTCATGTTCCCGTCGTGGATAAGCGATTAGAGAGTTAATGAAATGAAACCATGGAATTTATTGCATCACGTGTACATGGAACTTTGCGGACAAAAAATAGAAAGAGAAAAAAATCCCAAAATAATGATTTTCTTTGTCCACTCAATTTGTCAATTCGATAATTTTGTCTCGTTATATGAAGAGATGACAGATGGAAAAAACACACCTACAAATTAACATCAACACTAATGCTTAGCTTTTTTTTTTTTACTTTGAAACAACTTCCAATGAAAATTCATGTTCGTAGACAAAAAAATCAATTAATAACAATTAAATCAAATAAAGCCGGTGGGGTCGTCGGCGCCACCACCAAACAGATGGGCCATCTAAACATCACCACCGGTGAAGGGTGAAGCCCTCGAATTGCATGAAACAGCGCATTGAAAGTGAAGGCAGATTTAATAATTCCAAGGAACAAGTGCCCAAATAAAGTTCCTCCTTTATCACCCCACAAAATCTTATCTAATACTGTATAGTGTATACTGATGATGTGTCCATTTCGAGCGTGTATATAACATGGAATATATTTGATCTTAATATTTATTTATATATATTTGAATTGAATTGGACGAAAAAAAATGAATAGATATAAATTATAATATTTTTTTTAAATCATTAGGAATATTTACAAAGAACGGTATTCAACATACAAACTTTATATTGTCAAATCATACAACATTATAAAGCACTCACCAAAGTTTAAATCTATTGGGTTATTAATATTTTAAAGGAACTTTAAATGAGTATAAAGATGCCGTCAGATGAGACAAAAGATAAACAAATTAGGCCCATTAGTACCAAAATGAAATAATAGTTAGATTCGTATAAATGGGCTCTACTGTGGTGGGCCCAAGTACCGAAAAATTTAATACTCGGCCCAGTAAAACTAATTTGGGGCCCAAAAGCCTATATAGCGTTTCAGTTATGATCGTGGGAGAATTGACGAGCGACGCCAATTGGAAGCAGAGAGGAGAAAATCTGATCGACGCTTAAATCCGTTGTTGGAACAGAGTTTTCCCGAGAAAAATCTGAATAACGGACCGGGAAAACCCTACGACTGTTTTCTGGATCGACTCCTCTTTCTTGTTCGTAGGTACTCTGGTCATTCCCGGAGGAGATGGATGACGAATTGTTGGAATTGCAGCGCCAGTTCGAGTTCGCTCAACAGGCCAAGTCAAGCATCAGATTGTCGGAGCGAAACGTTGTTGAATTGGTCCAGAAGCTCCAGGAGCTTCGCGTCATTGACTTCGATCTGCTTCACACCGTCACCGGGAAAGAGCACATCACTCGAGTTATGATAGACCACGAGTAGGAGTGAGATGCACGCGTCGATTGTGGCGCGTGGGGTGCGGTGACCGAATTGACTTGCGCCTATAAAAGGAGTATCTAAAACGATAAAAAGTGTGGAAGTGTGTACGGAGACAGGAGAGAGACGTGGGACAGTGCCTTCGCGCTGCTTCACACCGTCACCTGGAAAGAGTACATCACTCAGGTTACAGATTTTCTCTCTCTCGAATTGTTCAGTTCATGCATTGATTCTTGTTGAAATGGAGACGAATACGATAACTTTTCTTGATACCTGATAAAATTCTCCGGAAATGACCTAGACCGCTTGATCAAGCTGTTTAGGTCTTGTTTCTTGAAAAAAAATATATTTTTAAGGAACGTGGGAAACTTTTTGTGCATGTTTGTCTTGGTTTGTCGCAGGAGCAATTGAGGAATGAAATTGCTGCCGAGATCGAGAAATTGGGCCGTGTCTCTGTGATTGATCTCGCGGATATGATTGGGGTTGATTTGTATCACGTGGAGAAGCAAGCGCAAGATGTTGTCTCGAATGATCCTGGGTTAATGCTGGTTCAGGGAGAAATTATATCACAAACTTATTGGGATTCAATTGCAGAAGAAATCAACGAGAGGCTTCAAGAATGCAGCCAGATTGCTGTGGCTGAGATTGCTGCTCAGTTACAGGTCGGTTCTGAGTTGGTGCAAGCTGTTTTGGAGCCTCGACTTGGAACTTTGGTAATGTCGATTTTTCCTGTGACTTTGCAGATTTTGTCTCAGTGAAGATGTAATTTTATTTATGCAGAATCTTTTTTTCGAAAAAAAAAATCTTTTAGGTGAAAGCTAGGCTAGAAGGTGGACAGTTATATACACCAGCCTATGTAGCGCGTGTCACTGCTATGGTTCGAGGCTCTGCAAGGGGTGTTTTTGTTCCATCGAATTTGTCTGCATTGTGGACGCCGTTGCAACAGTTGGTACAAGAAATGAATGGATCCAGTGGCATCGCTGTTGAGACTTCGTTTTTCCAATCTATATTCAACAGGTTGTTGAAGGAAGAGGAGATGCTTGGATCACTCCGTGCTGGAACCCATTGGACTCCTAGTGTACGTGAAATGATCCTCTTGCTTTAATTTTGGTTTCTGATGGATTTTATCCTCTTTGACTTACCAGTGCCGGCAGTATAATATATCATTAGCAAAAAGGAAATTTTGCCCATTTTTGCTGCCTCCCCTGTTCTGTTGTTATTCCTCTTTATTTTTTTCTTTTTCTCACCAATGGTTAACAATTCCCTGTGAGATGATGAAAAGAGATGAAATTTGAAAAATGAATAAACATATTGTCAGCGTCAGGAGAATGGAAAAAAAGTCTACTGGGTGTCTAGGGGTTAGCTCGTATTCCTTTGCATGATATGCACACCTTTATAAGATCTAAGATGTCTAGAACCTCTATCAAAGAACAGAGTTTCGTGAAGATTTTTGGTCCACAAATCGTTGGTTAAGCCAAAATTGTATCTCAGTATCTGCAGATGTTGATATGTGTTTCACTTTTTGATGCTATTATTGACAGGCTTTTGCAATTGCTCAAAAGGAATGTGTAGACTCTTTCTTTTCACAGGTATGTCCATCAATTGTCTGATATGTCTTATGTATGTGTCGATAAACTCATCAGTTTGGTGAAGTGAAAAGACTATATTTTCATTTTGTCCTGTATGCTCTTCATTCTTGGTGGTTTATTGGTTCCTTGTTTCCTGCAGAACTCCTTTATTACCTATGAGACCATGCAGAAGCTTGGAATTTCTCAAGCCGTGCAATTCCTTCAGGTATTTTATCATGGAAATTTACCTTCATTTTCTGTAAAAACATATTACCTAGAATACTAGAATGAGTGTCATGTTGCAATTTTTTATTCGTATCTCATTATAATTTGTGATATTTATAGTCCAGATATCCAGAAGGTACACCTTTAGCTGCTGTATTTATTCACCCCTCAATGATTGAGATGCTAGATGCCGCCATCGAGGATGCTGTTGAAAGAAATAGTTGGTGAGCTATATATACTTAGGCTTGGTTGACTTGTGTTGATGGTGAAGCTTTCCTTAATACTTTGTTGTGTGCTCGTTCTGTTACTTAAAATGCCTTGATTTTGGCTTCAGGATCGACTCCCTCGCTGTATTACCTGCATCGTTCACATCACAGGATGCATACAAGATGTTGCTTCTTTGTCCCTCGTTCCAATCAGCTCTCAAGGTGGGAATTTTTTAAGAATTTGTCAATTATTCAATAATGATCACATGAATGAGCTGTAAACTTGTTTTTTTTTTTTTGCAGGCTGACAAGGCACTAATTCTGGGTGAAACCTTCGTTTTAAGCAGTGGTTTCGTCAAGGTATGCTATGAAACAGTACTGAGTGGTGTCTTGTGAGGTGTTTGTCTTTTGGAATTGATATTCTTTGTCCGAAATTTTTATGCCTGGCATACAATCTGCTGATGTTTAGGGCATATATGATCAAATTGAGAAAGAGGCAGAAGCTTTTAGTGCCCAAGCTCCTGCTGCTAGTTTGATTTATCATTCAAGCAAATCTTCTGAGCCAACAGAAACCACGCTTGTTACAGAAAAAGGTTCAAAGAAGAAAAAGGGTAAATCTGCAGGTGCAAAATCAGTTACAATTGAAACTGTTGTAGACGAGGAAGAGGATGCCCGACCAAAATCTCGGAGAAACCAAAAGAAAGGCAAGGATGCATCGTTGTCCCAGATGCCAGTTTCGAAAATGGGAGGCAAGAAAGAGTCAGCTACGGTACAAGAGGCTAATCATGGTATTCCATCAGACGTGTGGATAATGCAAAAGATTACGAACCTTGTCCCTGAGTTTGAAGAACAAGGTATCTTGCAGAACTTTTTTTATGTTTATGTATAACTGTTTGGTTAAGAAGTTAAATGATTATTTGACGAGAGCTATGGTGATGTTTGGCAGGTATTGACAACCTCGAGTCAATTCTTAAACATTTAGCAGATCATATGAGGCCTATGCTTGTAAATTCACTGAAGGAGAGAAGAAAGAAACTCTTCACAGAAAATGCAGATAGAATGAAACGTCTGCTTGATGATCTGCAAAAGAAACTTGATGAGGTTGAAACCATAAAACTGTTTTATCTTCTTCCCCATGCTTCTCATCTTGGTTACATTTTTCACTGATGCTACCCTTGCTGGTACTAGTGTGATAACCTCTTATACTTGTCGATTCTGTCTACTTGTGGCAGTCTTACCTAAATATGCAGCTCTATGAAAAAGCATTGGAGCTGTTTGAAGATGATCAATCAACTTCAGTAAGTTTGTTCAGTCCAATTTGACATAAGAAATTGCTTGTTAAAGAAGAAAGGTTTAACAGTTGTCTTCTTCCTGACCGTAGGTTGTTTTACATAGGCATCTGTTGAGAACGACAGCAGCTTCTATTGCTGACACACTGCTTCATGACTTGGTAAGCTAAAAGTACAGTGTGCAGCCTTGGGCTACATTTAATCGACGATTCGACGGAATGGTTTTAACTGGTTATACATTATTTTTCACCACAGGATATCCACCACAAACTGAAGAATGGTGTTGAAGTTGAAGATTCTAAAGACAGAGATTTGCTTTCGCTTAATTCTTCTGAAAGAACTGCCCTTGTATGGAAATTATGCCTCTAAATCTAGGTTAATAATCTATGGTTGTACTTCTATTCATAAGAAAGCTAATTAGCGCGCAACTCTGTGTGCTTCTTTTTCTTGGTGCAGGCTAAGAATTTCACTGGACCACTTTCAAAAAAGGCCCTTTCATTAGTTGAAGTGTTGGAAGGAAAGGTTAGCAATTTCTTAACAAATAGTTCAATGACATTTATCATCACAGCTGCTTTCATGCTACTTGGTTTGTCTTCGGGTATTGACTTTAAGTGGGTGTTCAGGCTTCGGATTATACCAATGGCTCTCATCTAGAAGGATAATGATTTTCCCTATTTAGCTACGTGGTCATAGAGTTTGTGTTATTGTTTGTGCCTTGCCAGTTGGTCAAATGCTTGCTTCACCAACTTTTTGCTAGCAGGGTTTGTTCCAGTTTGAGGGAGTTTTACTTTGAATAGATTTCGTGTTCTAGTAAAGTTTGCTGATGTGATTATTCGTATTTCAGCGTGTCGACACTTTCATGACTGCCTTCAGAGACATGGCAGAGGAAAGGTAGTGATGTCCACATTTTATAATATGATCGGTTCTCTCGAGCAAATTCATATTGTTCTCATGGGATTTGAACTAAATATTAGTTTCTTATGCTGCAGTGGGTTGGTATTGAAGAAGCTTGACAAAAAACTGGAAAGGACTCTCTTACATTCATACCGTAAGGTGCGTGTGTATGTGGTGGTTTTCACATCATAAAATCCAACGGTTTGTTTTGTGTTAATCTCTCATCTCATGATTATTTTGTTCCCTCGAGAATTTAATATTGGATGCGACATTGTTAAATCAGGATTTGATATCTCAAGTTTCTACGGAGTCGGACCCTGTTGTACTTCTCGCAAAAGTTGTCTCTCTGCTTTATATTCAGGTATCTGCCTCAATGCTTATTTTTTTTTTTTATATACCATCCTGCAAGCTTGCGTTCGGAATTCACAATACAGTCGGAAAACGTGGTTACAGGTTTATAATAAAGCTTTACAAGCCCCTGGTAGAGCTATTGCAGCTGCCATTTCACGTCTAAAGGTATATTTATTATTGCGTCTGTTGTGATTTACTCTTCCAATTGCTTGGCCACGTAGCTTGAAGTTTATCTGTTTGATGTAATGGCCCAACTAATTAAATTGCTAGGACATACATTTTGGCCGATACAATACAATATCTCTAACTATACATAATCAGGATGCGGAATCATGAAGGGCTATATAAGCTTATTCGACGAGAGCCTTGATAGGTTAATTTCGGACGAATCATGTCTGGTTACGCAGTATTTAGGTTTTTATTGTCTGATTCATGTATGGAGGTTTTGCTTTCACGGGAGAACTTGTGTCCAATTTTTTACCCTGAAACAAAATTTACCGCTAACTGTGTGTTGCTCTTTCCGTTTTCTTGGTTCTTTTTCTTCTTCTTATTTTGCTGAACTCCGATCCGTTTGGTGTCGCGGTTATTGCAGGATAAACTAGATGAATCGGCGTACAAGACGCTGACAGATTACCAAACAGCAACAGTTACGCTTTTGGCTCTAATGTCGGCTTCGACCGGCGGCGAGGTTAGTGTCCTTTGGCGAATGCCTCTCTCTCTCGCTCTCTCTTCACAGGAAGATTTCTGCGAGCAAATCCGGAATCTTAATGGGGGGGCTGAATGTGTGAATACATGATGAATCAGGAGGATAACTGTACGGGAGACAGGATTCTGAGCAAGAGGGAGTTCCTGGAGAGCCAAATGCCCCAACTCAAAAGCCTCGTCCTCGGCAACTCACATCCCTCTTCCTAACCAAAAACCAAACAGGTTTAGTATTTACTGCTCTCCCGTCTCCTGACGTGCAATATCCCAGGATGAACTTCTTCTTTTTTTGTTTGTTAGGTCTCTATACTTGTCGTTCGCATACAGATTTCGGATGAGCATGAGACACTAGAATACATGTACTGTTTTAATGGTCATGCACCTCCATGTTACTTCTTTAGATGTCTCTCTTTTCTCACACTTTCATTCGGCTCGGTCCGGTTACTAGACTGAGAGAAGCGTACTGGGACAAAGCCCAATCAATCGGATTCGGAACCGATCTCCGAAACCGGGTTTGCTTGTTTGGTCTTTGGATCAGTAGGGTGTCAATGATGCTCATCCTACCAAACGGCGTGACTTCTTCTTAAAAGTTCTTTATTGATACACAACAAGATTTTATAGATCCACGTTCATGCTTACAGGTTTAAGTACGACACTACACAAAACACAGACAGACAAAACATCACCGACCCTTATTATTTCACACTGACCACGTACACACCATCTTCTTCTTCTTCTTCTTCTTCTTCTTCTTCTTCTTCTTCTTCTTTTGTCTGAATCAGGCAGGACATCAACCGGAGATGGCGATGGATTTGACCTGTGACTTCTTCTCCTCCGGCACCTTGGGAACAGTCACGGTCAGGACGCCGTTCTCCATCGAAGCCTTGATCTCCTCCATCCTCGCATTCTCCGGCAACCTGAACCTCCTCGTGAACTTCCCACTCGCCCTCTCCACTCGGTGCCATGTGTCATCCTTCTCCTCCTTCTCCCTGTTCCTCTCCCCGCTTATCTGCAGTATATTCCCATCCTCAACCTCCACCTTCACCTCCTCCTTCTTCAGCCCCGGCATGTCCGCCTTGAACACGTGCGCCTCCGGGGTCTCCCTCCAGTCCACCCTCGCGCTCGCAAACGCAGATACCTCGCGACTCGACTGCGGCGCCGACGACGTCAAGAACCCCTCCAACGGATCCCACAAGTCCATCGAGAACGGGTCGAACACGTTCGTTCTTCTCCCTCCGAAAACGCTCGGAATCAGAGCCATCTTCTTAGCTTGCTACCGAGAGAGATCACCGATGCTTTTCGCGTTTCCTTTGCTTTGTTTTTGATTCTCGTGTCTTGATGTTACGAATTAGACCCAGCCCCATATATATATAGAGAGAGAGAGAGAGGAAGAGAGAGAAAGTTCCGTAAGTTTCTTGCGCGTTCTCGGCTCTTTCTATAACCTTCGTTTCAAGTCTAGAACTCTTTATCCACTACTAATTTCAATTTAAAATATATATGGGCTGACAACTATCTGATTTATGCGGGTCCAAAAGCCCAATAACTTATAAGCCCATATGATTGAAATGAGATATCTTGATGCGGAGAAAGTATCCCACGCGCAGGATAAGCGCGTTATGAAAACGCGCCTGATTTGTGTGGCCTGTAATCCAGCGAAATCGCGGTTTTGCAGAATGCAAATCCAGGCGCGTGAGGTTAATCTTATTCCGTTACGGATTTCAAGTTATTTTAGAATTTGTCAAAATTCAAAGTATTTTGTAAATTTTAAGCGCCCAAGTCTTTGTCGAAACTCTTCAAGATAACAGAATCATAAGATTTTGATCTTCCTACATTTTTTACTTGACAATTTCCATAAAAAAAATTCTTAAGTAACTAAACATGTATAATGCGTATTAATTTTAATAATGGTAGTTGTTTGATATAATCAATAACACTCAATTTTAAAAAATTATATAAATCGTCAAATTAAATACCAAATTTTAAGAAAACTATCATCTGCTCATCCGACTGTTCTTGCGCATTCAAGAACATTCCGTGTCGGAACGACATGCATTCCATAGGCCAACGCGCAAACGGCTTGCCGTTTTTCTACCATGTAAGTATGCTGTCATTGTTAGGCCATAATATTGATTTGGGCCAAAAAAAATTATATCTTCGCCAAGTGAGTCATATTGAGCTGTAATTGAAACCCATATACGGTAATGGGCCTCTAAGCCCATGTGTGACACGTGCCAGTGTGTTTTTGAATTAATAAGTCGTGTCGTGTGTAGTCAAATTCGCTTACTATCACAATATTCATATTATATGATAATTTTTGTGCCGGAAAACTAGCATATGCCCATCAAGTCAATTTATAATATTTCCATCAATTTTACCCTTGTCATTTTAAATAATAAAAAAAATAAGGTTACCCATATATACGCACACACACACACAAAATAATGATTTAGTATTCTTATAAAATTATTAGTTTGAAAAAACAGAAAAATAACTATAGAAACCCGAATAAAAAAACAAATCTGTCCGAGTGGTACATATGTGTGTGTGTGTGTATATATGTGATGCGACGGCTAATGAGGATGGCCATGCACCACGTAAGAGTCGTTGACACCGATCGGATTGTCGATGTCGGTCATGCTCTGTTCATTCGCGCTTTGACTTGCCACGTGGACTGCTCCCGTTCCATGTGGACGCACCTTCTTCGATCCCTCCACTAGCTCCTATACGCCACACAACAATCTTTAAATCTTGGCAGGGGAACTTAAAAATTCCTCAATTTGTATTTTGGAGTAATATTAATTCTTAAATTTGTAGAGATGTCTATTAATTCCCAAACTTGTAAAATTGAACACGTTAAATTCTGAACTTGTTAAACGGTTCCATAATCATCCATAATATTATTTGGTAAAAAAAAAGAGTTGATCGATCCGACGTGGCGGATATTTTCTGAATTGGCTCACCACGTCATACACCACGTCGGATCGGTCAACTCGTTTTTTTGACCAAATAATGCTATGCACGATTATGGAACCGTTTAACAAGTTCAGGATTTAACGTGTTCAATTTTGCAAGTTTGGGAATTAATAGACACCTCTACAAGTTTAGGAATTAATATTACTCCAAAATACAAGTTCAGAAATTTTTAGGGTTTTTTCCCTAACCTAAGATATGCATATATATATATATATATATATATATATATATATTGTTCATTCAAGTTAATAAGAAATGAGATTTTTTTATACGTAAAAAATACCTGAAATTTTCTTAACTTGTAATTTGGTGGAATATTAATTTCTGAACTTGCAGAGATGTCTATTAATTCCCGAACTTACAAAATTGAACATGGTAATTACTAAACTTGTTATATAGTTCCATAATCGTCCTTAGTGTTAATTGGTCAAAAAAACGCATTGACCGATCCGACGTGGCGCATGACGTGTCGAGTTAACTCAGAAAATTGATGCCACGTATGCAATTTCCGGTTTTTCGATAAACCGTGTTTAATCGAACCGATTGAATAGTAAACCGAGATATGCGACCGCTGCTTGAGCCGTCGACTAGACCGGTTCGATTAAACACGGTTTTTCTTGCCGGCAAACCCATTGATGATGGCACATTTCCCCGAAGGTTTTGTTCGTTATTTGGCCACTCACTCTGACGCTCGTTCGTGCAAGAAGTAGAAAAGACACCGGAGATTTTAACGAGTTCGGTTACCGAGATAAATCTCGGACCTACATCTCGACCGGACGGTGCCGACGAATCCACTAGAAGAACCAAGAGAAACCAACAACCGGCGACCTCCATAAACACCGGAGGTTCACTCCAAGAAAGAATCGGAAAAACATGACAGCCCTTGAGATACAACTGATGGATATGATGCTCTAGTATGATCATACGATATGAGAACCATGTATGATACGATATATTTATTGGATGAATGTATCGTTTGTTCATTATTTATTTTGCATATTTGATAAATAATGACATCCATGGACCATTATGAATGATCCTAAATTCCTTTGTCGATTTTCATTGTGGGAGCAATGATGAATTAAGACTAACATGAGGCGTGATGGATGATCATGGTGATGATCATGTGTATTGGATACGGATCACGGTCACGAGTACTTGTTTGGAACAAGTGACTGGATGACTCGCGTGAGATTGTCGATTGGATTTTATCCATGACTTGAATCTCACTTGATGGTTCACTTTAGATCCTCAGACCTGAGATATCTATTGTATCCATCATGACGAGTAATGTACTTTGATTGCATCAAACATCGTCTTTAACCGGATGATTATAAAGGCGTGGCTCGGATACATTACGAATCATGTAGTGGATAGTAGATAGTCAAGATGAAACTTTGTCCCTCTCGAAAGAGAGAGATACCGCTTGGGCCCGTCGTAAGAGTGAGACTGTAGAAATGTGTGGTCGCACTATAGATAAATGTCATCTATCTCTTACAGTCTACTCGAGATATGACAAAGCATTCGAACTATGAGTTCGATTATGATATCGTGAGACAAAGAGAATCATCGTTACAACTTCTCTGGCTTTTCGGTTAGACGACATCTAACTCTTTCCGATACGGGTAATCATAATGTCTTGCTAGAGACCGCTTATGATTTGTAAAGCGAGATTGGATCTCGCGTTTACTGCCGTATTCGAAGGAGCCTAAAGGGTCACATACATATGGGATGGACGTGTATGGACGGGATCGAACGAACGAGAAAAATCGGATTTTTCTCCGTCTTTGAGGCCTAGTCCGGAGCTGACCAGGAGTTGGTAAGCCGGACCAGACAGAGTTGGGAGAAACATAATAATTGGTCGAAAAATTAGTCTGGTCCGGAGCTGACCAAATGTTGGTTCGGCGGACCAGACCAGTCAGGCTAAGCGTTTTCGCGTTAGCTCGGAGTTCGGCTGGTCCGGCGAACCGAAATCTTGGTCCGCCGGACCAACAAGTCAGGCGGACTGAGGGCACGGTCCGGAGTTCGGCTGGTCCGGCGGACCAAGTTTCTGGTCCGCCGGATCGCGAAAATATCGGACTGTCGGCAGTGAAATGGTCTTGGTCCGCCTGACCAAATGTTGATCAGCTCCGGACCAAGAACCTGACCAAACTATTCCGCGAGTTTTGCGTGCTTGGTCCGGCGGACCAAACGTTGGTCAGCCCCGGACCAAGCGTCAGAAACCCAAAGTGCGTCTTTTCTTCCCCTTTTCTTGGTGGGAAGCAGGTGAGACGAACTAAGACTCTCTCTCAATCATTCTCAAACATAAGGTAAGGTTTAGAGAGAGAGAGAAACTCTCCCAAGTGTTCTTGAACACTCACACAAGAGATTTGATCTCTTCAAACTCTAGCAAGCTAGTTCCCAAGTGTTGGAAACCATCCCAAGGGTGTGGACTACTCAAGAGGATGTTGGCTCTTTCAACACCTAGGTTGTGATCATCTAACCGCATCAAGATTTTGAATCAAAGTTTAGATTTCTCTCCTCAAGAAGTTTTTCATCGAAAGATTGGTCCGTGGACGGTTCAAAATCGTTTTGAACGCCAATTCCGCTGCGTAAGTCCGCGGACCAGATCCTAGCACTGTTTTGAACCGGCGGTCTAGGATCCCGTGTAGTGATGTCAAAGGAGCCAGCTCGGCCCAGCTCGGACCAGCTCATCACGAGCCAGCTCGTTTTCAGCCCAGCTCGTTAAGCCCGTTTATATTCGGGCCAAGAAAATTCTGGCTCGGCCCAAGTCGCTCTAACTCGCGAGCTAGCTCGCGAGCCAGAACCAAATTTATCTATATCCCTTCAAAAACATCTGAAATTATATACTACTATATCCAAAAGATACACCAACATAAAAAGAACATATCCTAAACCATAATGTATGTCTGAAATCATAAAATCATGTCCAAATCATAATCCATATCCAAAATCATAATCTATCCATGTCCAAAAATATAAAACCTTGTCTAAATCAGAATACCAATTACCAACCAACATAACAATTTCAAGTTTCAACATATGACAAAAGAACATTCACCAACCAAGTCACCAACCATCCAACAACAATATATCGTGCATTCAATTCAGATTTGTTGCATCATCACTTCCACCTCCATTGTCGCCTTGATTTCCACTTGCATTGTTGACAACTTCAACACCAAAAAGATATGTTAGTAACTTACATAATTATATTGAATAAATCAAAACAGAAGAATAAATATAAATGTTTACCCGTTAATTCTGAAAAACCTTTATACCAAGACCTAGCACATATTAACGATTGCACACTTGAAGGGAGAAGTTGGTTCCTATACTTGTTCAAGATACGGGAACCGATACTAAATGATGATTCTGAAGCCACC